CAACTTTCTGGCTTTGCCACACCTCACTCCAGCCTGTTTTGAACTAGTCCTTAGCAGTTTGGAAACCATGCCCTTATTGCAGGAGAAATATTTCAAAATGAGTTTCCATGTACCCTGAAACTATCTTGCTCTCAGAATGCTAGGGGCTACAGGGGCCCACTACATCCTTCCTCCGCTCCAGTTTTACATACACTTCGTAAGAGCTTAAAAGAACAAGCACTAAGACCAAGACATTGCTTTCCTCCTTCACCACACAGAGCAGGAAGGGGTCAAAGGTTCTGGTTTTCACTTCCTGAACCACTTGTCTGAAAAACTGTGGTTTTGTGTTCACAGGGTCTGAAGAAATAATAGCTCCTCAGCCTCTTACCCCAACCCCCTTTCAGATCTGTAAAAAAGTTGGTGGACAACAAAAACCAAGCCACAACCCCACCCACCCCGCACACTTCCCAAGTGACAGTAGTTTGCAACTGGCCTGCTGGAAACTAGTTACTGAGCAACTAGGCTGGGACAGGTGAGTAAATGAGGAATCCCTATATATGTAATATGTGTGTGTCACATGTAAGTTGAGAGTCCAGGAGAACGTACCTCATGTGCACTCTCTACCCTTGGAGGTTTTTAAGACCCAGCTAGACAAAGCCTCGTCTCGGATGCTCTAGTTGGGGATGGTCCTGGTTCGAGCATGAGGTTGGACTAGATCAGAGGTTCCCAACCACCGGGCCACGAAGGGTTGGCTGCCAGGTCGTGGCATGAACTTCCATTGCTGGCAGTCACCTTCCGGGTTAAAGCTGGGCAACCCTGGGAAGGAGGGAGGCAGCCAGCTCCGTATGCCCGGTCCCACTCCTACTGCCATGGCTATGCCTGGTGAGGCAACCAGCGCCCAGGCCAGGCCAGGCATGACCCCGCCAACCCCACCTGCAGTGGGGAGCAGGGAGATGTGGGCAGAGAAATGCCTGGGGCAGAGGGTGAGGAGGTGGCTTTGGTGCCTCCTCCTAGAGAAGGCAGTGGAGCCCCTTCTTTCTGGGCAGCCCCAGTTGGGTCCTCCCCAGGCTACCACCTGCACAGCCCACTCCCCTTCCGGGTCCCCCAGTCCCCGCGGCTGCAGTGCCCCAACTCAATCCCATCTTCGTAACTCCCCCCCCCATGTAAAATTAATAAATAAATAAATATGCAAATTAAATTTAAATATGTAAATAGAGTCGTTTCTATACCCGGTCCGGCAAAATTCTTTGAGTGAGTTTGCTGGTCCGCAGTATAAAAAAGGTTGGGAACCATTGGACCAGATGACCTCCTCAGGTCTATTCCAACCCTAATTTTCTATGATTCTATGTTAGAAAGCAGCTTGAGAGCATATGTAATTATAAGAACAGTTATATTAGGACCTTGTACACTAGGAGGGAGAGGAAGGGGAGAGCAACAAAGAGAGAGCTCAGTGTGCATCCAGAGTGGGATTCTTGAAAACTGAAAGCCTGTATCAGACAGCACTTGTACATAACACTTGAATCTGGGTAGCAGGGCCATGCTGGGGCAAGTTCTTAGGCAGTTACCTGAGCATATGGTGAAGTTTGTGGGGTGTCATTCCAGCACCATTATCTGTAAAGGCTAAACAAGCCTCTCCCTTAATTTCCACAACATCAATGCAGAGAAGCTTCGCTGTTACACCAGGGTCGGAGGCATTGTCTGTGGAAGGAAGAAACCTGGCCAGTCAGCACCACTCAGGTGCTCAAGTACTCTCCTGAAGCTCTCACATTATCTCCTGGGAGCTGAGAAGTGAAAATATTTTTGAACTTTTTTTCTCCCAAGTGCAGAGAAATGACACATACTATATTCTCCTCAAACTGCTGACTACATTCTGTAGGTATGCACGTAAGCATGACTTGCACGGACAGAGAATGGGGAAATGCTATGATGTGGCAAAATGGTTCTATCAGAACAAAGTAGGGAGGACCACATAAGATAGGTGTAAGGAAGTTGCAAATGAGTTATGTAAATCATCACAAATGACTGTCAAAAAAACATTTACACACTTTACTCTGTGTTCTCGACACACCACATGTTACAGAAGAAATGTCTTATTAAGAACTTTACCTTCTGTTTACCTGCACAGGTTTGAGCATGTCACAATACACCTGTGCTCGCACATGTGATGCTGTAGCTGGGATGGTCCAGAAATGAGGTGAGGCAAGAAGTCCTTGCCTCTAGGATGTCATAGGCCATTCCAATAACTGCCTTTCTAATACCTAAAAAGGCTGGGATTTTAGGACCTAATCTTGGGACCTTCCAGGGCGAGGAAGAAAGCTCCAACAGGAAACTCACTTCTGCTGCCCTGGTGGGCCACAAGATATGGGACCTGAGACCTAGTGCGGCAGACGAGTGTTTGCTCTGAGCCTGACCTAGGTGAAATGAGGAGCAGGAAACAAAGTGCGAAAGGACATGCCCCCAACCCAGGCAATTGTCTATTAAAGAATAATTGCTTCAGAGAAGCGGCGCTGGGCTGGTGCTCCGCGCCGCGAGGCTGGAGGGGCGGGGAGAGGAGAGGGAAGGTGTCAGGTCCTGCCACGTCCTGACGACCGGCAACACGACCGCCCACCCGCCCTGGGCCGCGGAACTGCGAGGCAGCCCCATGTAGAATTTATCATACTGC